CAACCAACCAGATGGGAGATGATATTTGCAAACAGTGTAGCTCAGACAGAGGTTTAATTTCCAAAGCATATAAAGAACTCATAAAACGCAACACCAAACAAGCAAACAAATAACCCAACCAAAAAGTGGGCAAAGGACCTGAAAATGCACCTCTCCCAAGGAGACATATGAACAACAACTAGATATATGAATAGATGTTCAACCTCAATGGCAATTAGGGAAACGCCAATCAAAACTACAATGAGATTTCACTTCACACCTGTTAGAGTGGCTATTATCAAGAAGACAAGCAATAACAAGTGTTGGAGAGGTTGTGGAAAAAGGGAACCCTCATCCACTGCTGGTGGGAATGTAGACTGGTACAACCATTATGGAAAGCTACCTGGTGCTTCCTCAGAAATTTAAGAATAAAGCTACCATATAACCCAGCAATCCCTCTCCTGAGTATATACTCGAAAAACTTGAAATAATGTATTAGCAAAGATATATGCATCCCTATGTTCATTGCAGCATTATTCATGGTGGCCAAGACATGGAAACAACCAAAGAGTCCTGTGATAAAGGACTGGATAAAGAAGATGTGGTACATATACACAATGGAACACTACTCAGCCATAAGAAAGAATGAAATAGTGCCATTTTCAACAACATGGATGGACCTGAGAATATTATGCTAAGTGAAATAAGTCGGTCAGAAAAAGCTAAGAACCATATGATTTCACTCACATGTGGGGTATAAAACTGAAATATGTGGACACAAACAGCAGTGTGGTAGTTGCCAGAGGGAAAGGTATTGGGGGTTAAGGGAGCCCTAATATATGGTGACAGGAGAATATTTGACTTTGGTGGTGGGCACACAGTGCAATATAGATCTTGTAACATAGAAACACACACCTGAAACTTATATGATCATAATAATCAATGTCACCCCAATAAATTTAATTATAAAATAAAATTAAATTAAAGGACAATAAAGGCCATTAAAAGAAAATCTCTAAGTGCCAGTTCTTCCAAGAGCTAACTAGCTTGGTTCAGGTGTAACTGTGATGAAAATGGTCAGTTCTTAACAGTTTAGAAAATTCTCCACTTCTCTGCGGGGATCATATCAAATGAGGTTAAAGAAGTCCCAGGAATCAATTCACTCAAATTTGTGGGTGTTTTTTTTTGAGACATAAATTTTAAAACTTTTTTAAACTATAAAAGAAATTCTCATTATAGAATATTCAAACAGTTATGAAATACATAGAATCAAACCAGAAAGATCCTCGTCAACACCCACTGCAATTCCAGGCTCAAACTGTTTACAGTGTGCCCTCCCAATTTTTTTCTAGGCATTTACCGGCATATCTATATTCTTACACAAATACAAAAATCTTTGCCAGTTATGTAAACCTCCTCATTCTTTTATTATCTTAAAATTTGTTTTATTGTAGAAAAATATGCATACAGTAGCCTCCCCTTATCAATAAGGGATATGTTCCAAGATGCCGGAAACTGCAGATAGTACTAAACCCTATATATACTGTGTTTTTTCCTATACATACACACCTATTATAAAGCTTAATTTATATGTTAGGTGCAGTAAGAGATTAACAATAATAACTAGTAATAAAATAGAAAATTATAACAATATACTATAATAAATGTTACATGAATGTAGTCTCTCTCTTCTCTCAAAATGTCTTATTGTATTGTACTTAAACTTCCTGTGATAATCTGAGAAGATACAATTCTTATGTGATGAGATTCAGTGAAGTGGAACTTTCCTTTTAATATTTTCAGACCGCGATTGACCTTGGGTAGCTGAAACCATGAAAGCTAAACCATGGACAGGGATGGGGTCTACTCTACCATAACATTCACCATTTTAACCATTTTCCAGTGTACAGTTCAGTGGCATTAAGTATATTCACAGTGTTGTGTGACCATCCCCTCTATTTCCAGAACTTTCAAATTGTTCCAAATAGAAAATCTGTACCCATTAGACAATAAGTCCCCATTCTCTTCTCCCTTCAGTCCCTGGTGACATCTATTCTACCTTGTTCCTATGCTCTTCATTCTTTTAAAATTGCTTTTGAAAAGCAATTTTAATACAGAGACATTATAAACATTCTAACAATAGGAAAGGGCATATTCAATGTTAAATACTTTTTCCTCTCATGCTTGAACCCCCTGCAACCAGTGTAATCAGTTTCCTGGATATCTTTACTAATGAGTCTATGTATATAGAAGCATAAATGGACACATACCATCCTCTCTTTTTTACAAAGTAGTAGCAAGCCATACACAGCTTGATTTTTTTTCATTTAACAGTATCTGACATGTATACATATATATAATGCATATATAATATATAATATAATGTGTGTGTATATATATGTGTGTATATATATATACACTAATAAAAGGGTAATATGCTAATTAGACCAGGTCAACCAGACATCTTCTGGTCATCCGGTCCTCTTTCTGGACAAAGTCACAGTGGCGGGGGCCAGGGCAGAGATGTTTAGAGGCAATCAGACTGGCAGAGGAGCAGTTAGGAGAGATCAAGCTGGTAGGGGAGAGCAGTTAGGGGCGATCAGGCAGGCAGGCAGGCAGGTGAGCGGTTAGAAGCCAGCAGTCCCAGATTGCAAGAGGGATGTCCAACTTCCAGTTTAGACCCAAGGGGTCCCAGATTGGAGAGGGTGCTGGCTGGGCTGAGGGACCCTCCGCCATGCACAAATTTCATGTACTGGGCCTCTAGTATATATATAACATGCATATATTTATAATTCTTCTTTATCCATTCCTCTGTTATGCTAGGATCATCTTATGCCCCATTAACATTGCAAAAAATAATTTTTATTTTTGCAAAAAAACACATAGCATAAAACTCACCCTCCCAACAATTTAAAGTGTACAGTACAATATTGTCAACCACATGCACACTGTTGTACAACAGATTCCTCAGAACCCTTCCACCAAAGCCTGCATGACTGAAACTCTACACCCACAGAAAACAACTCCCTGCCTCTCCTCTCCCTGGCCCCTGACAAACACCATTCTACATTCTGTTTTTATGAGTTTGACCACTTTAGATATGTCCTATAAGTAGGATCATGCGGTATTTATCCTTCTGTGACTGGCTTATTTTACTTAGTGTATAATCATCAAGCATCATCCTCATCATATGCCACATTCCCCTGTATGTATATGCCAAATTTTGTCTCTCCACTCATCCATTAGAGGATATTTATGTTGCTTCCAACTTGGCTATTGTGAAAAATGTTGCAATGAACATGGGAGTGCAAATAGCTCTTTGAGAGTCTGCTTTCAATTCTTTCAAATATACTTCTAGAATTGAGACTACTGAATCCTGTTAGTTCTATTTTTAATATTTTGAGGAACCTCTGGATTCCTGAGTTTTTTCCATAGTGGTTGCACCATTGTACATTCCCATCAACAGTTTACAAGGGTTCCAATTTTTCCACATACTTGCTAACACATTTTCTTTTTGTTTTGGTTCACTTCTTAATAATGGCCATTTTGATAGGTGTGAGATGATTTCTCATTGTGGTTTTGATATGCATTTTCCTGATGATCAGTGATGTTGTGCATCTTTTCATATGCCTTTTGGTCATTTGTATCTCTATGTCTTCTTTGGAGAAATATCTATTCAACTCCATTGCCCATTTGCTAACTGGGTTATTTATTGTTTTGTTATTGGTTTGTAGGAGTTGTTTTTTTTCCTTTATTGAATAAGATATTACAAATGTGTCCATATCCCCCCAATGTCCCCTCATCCCCCCAATAGAAGTTGCTTATATATTCTGGATATTAAAGCTTTATCAGATATAAGGCTTATAAATATTTTCTCTCCATTCTTGCCTTTTTAGTTTGTTGATTCTTCTGCTGTACATTTTTTCGAGTTTGATGTAGTCCCACCTGTCAATTTTGCTTCCCTTGCCTGTGCTTTTGGTGTGACTCTAACTTTTACTTCTCTTAAGGCCAGACTTTCATCAGGATAGCCTGGTTGTGATTTTTGCCTCCCTTTCCATCTCAGTGTTCTCTAGCACATTCTTTAAAAGGGGTGTTGCCTAATTACTACTGCTTCTCTGGTGCTTCCCAGAGTTACCTTAATTTTTTCTGTGCTTGCTTACATGTACAGTAATGGGAGGCCTATGTGAGAGGGGATGTTTCCTCCCATTTTCTAGCTTCTTTCCCCTTCATCTCCCCATTTCCCACAAGTTTGGAAGTTAATCTCCTCTGGGCTTCCTGTTTCTTCTCTTTGGAATCTTCCTTGTAAGTGGGGAGGTGGTCTCTGAGCCAATGACAGGTCAGCCAAGAGGTACTTCATACCAATAAAGCTTTCTGGGTTCTAGATGTACAAATTAGTTTCTTAGGGACATTGGATACCTAGATAGCTGCATCTATTCTATTGTCCTCTTTAGTAAGGATTCTCTTGTTTTGTCCATCAAAGATTGGAATGTGCAAATGAAACCCTACTATTTATTTTAATTTGATGGCTTTAATCCATCCCCACAGGTTTTTTTGTGTGTGTGTATGTGTGTGTGTGTGTGTGTTTTTACCATGACCAATAAAACACAGCCATTCTCCCTGTGTAAAAAGAAAGAGGGGTTGGGTTTCCTTCAATTGTCTGCCCTTTTCTGTCTCCTCCACTATTTTTGTTTTACTCTGTTGTTAACTGCATAGAGCAGCTTCATCAGAGGACCTGTGTTGTGGACTGGGGCTCTCATCTCATTGGCGCTTGCAAAGGCCCTTTTCCTTGTTCTAACCTGAGGGTTCCTGGGACCAAGGGGCTGGGGGGTGGAAGAAGAGTTTGGCCATAATCTGCTTTCTGCATTTCACACACATTCTTCGCC